TAGTACGGTACGTCGTAGTGTAGGAGGAGTAGTATACTAGGTAGTGTAGTGGTAGGGGGAGGGTAGGTAACGTATATAGTCTATAGAGAAGAATATAACTTACTATATATATATATATATATATATATATATATATATACCGAAGCCCATGCCCCTATGAATGTAGGTGTATATCACACTCAACTTACATATTGTAAGCTTTCTGTAAACATAATAAAAGATGGTATGCACATATTTAAAGATGACAATTTCTTCTCCATTCTCTAATGTGTGATTAAAAAAACATTACATTTTTTCCTTATTCTACGAAACTACACTTTTCAAGGATTAAGATTTATTAAAAGATATTATTTTAAAATAACACCTAGTACTTTTTCATGGCAAAAATACTAACAAGAAAAAAGTTATTTATTTATTTTAGACATGCACGTAAATTTTATGGTATAAGGTTAACACCTTGTATAATAAACATATGGCGAAACTTTACATGTTGTGCCACCTAACATATAAAACATAGGGATTGTCTACAACAAGACCATTTGTCTTTTGTACATGGAGATCGCAATCATTCCCACTCATTAGATATCAAATTGGATGGCATAGGGTAAGTCACGAAGTCCGAGATTTTTTTTTTTAACTTTGTGTCTATTCAATAACACTCGTACAACCATCCATTTTGAAATTTAAGGGACGAGAATGATTGTCCCCATGTACAAAAAATAAATGCTCTCTTTGTAGACAATCCCTAAAAAATATATGACCCCCTATTACGAACAATTGATTTCATTGGACAATTGGGATAAATTTAAGCATGAGATTACAAGTTAGTTTCTGAATTTCACAACTTGATAGGACAACTCAAAGAATTTTATTTCTAATTTAAAAACCATTTCATAATGAATGTTGGGGCTTGTAAATCACCATTTCAAAAATAAGAAAATCATTTCTTATAAAAAAAATGAGACCGTACCTCTTTGTCTTAATTATGGATGACTTAACTAGGTACTTACAAGATGAGGTATAATGGTGCATGTTGTTCGCAGATGACATAATTTTAATCAATGAGACCCGAAATGGTGTCAACACAAAGTTAGAACTTTGGAGGGATGCCGTAGAATCTAAAGGTTTTAAAATTAGCCAGACTAAGACAGAGCATACAAAATGCAAGTTTAATAATAGGAGTAGAGATGAGGAAGTAGTTAAGATTGACGACCAATAAGTACAAAAAAGACCGTACTTTCGATATCTTAGATTGATAATCTAGGAAAATTGAGAGATAGAGGAAGATGTTGCATACTGAATTAGAGTAGGATAGGCAAAAGTGGAGATGTACAATTAGAATTTTATGTGAACGTCACATACCAATGAAGCTGAAGGGCAAAATCTTTAAGACAACTGTGAGACTAGCTTTGCTCTATGGGGTGGAATGTTGGGAACACAAAAACCAATACACCTATAAAATGAGTGTAATGGAGATGAGGATGTTGAGATGGATGAGTGGCAAACCTAGAAGGGATGGAATTCAAAATGAATCCATTTGAGAGAATTTAGGTGTGGCACCAATAGGAGATAAGATTAAAGGGAGTAGACTTTAGTGGTTGCCATATGTGGCGCCAACCAAGTCCAACTCCTATTAGGAGGTACGTGTTAGTTCAAGTGGAAGGACATAAAAGGGTAAGGGGTAGGGCCAAAAGAATGTGGTTGGAAGTAGTCCGAAAGGATATGGGGACTTATGTGCTCACTAAGAGTATGACCTTTAGTAAAGCAGAATGGTGGACCAAAATTCATGTAGCCGACATCAATTAATTGGGAAAAAGCTATGATGATGATGATAATAAAAAAATTGTAATACTTTTTGGGGATATTCTAGTTATTTTTAATAACAAATATTTTTTATGGAAGAATTTTATGCAAGGTTGACACCTTAAGATGTAGAATTAAAGTGCACTTCAAAACTCCATTGAAAAATGTTATTTTGATGTTGGAAAATGAGCATCTCAATATTGAGATGTATGGATAAGGAGAATAGCAAGATTTCAGGTCCCAAAAATTTTACATCTAGCAACACATTATCTAGACTATCCATTTTCAAGATTTATATATTTATAGATCTGCTTGATTTCAACTATTCTTGGAGTTTAAAATTTTATAATTAGATATGAAAATCGATTCTTGGATAGTCTTTTTTTTTTATTTTCGATACCAAAATTACATCTTATGACAAATTGGGAAGTACGCCTTACTTTAATTGTTTAAGGTTACAACCTTATACAAATCACACCAAAATTTCTTAATTGCAACCTCTAAGTACTTGAAAAAAATAATGTCTCAATATTGAATAGAAAATGTTTAATATTTGGAGGGTGAAGTCTAGGTGTTAAAAAACTCAAATTTTAATTTTTTTAAATAATCATCGAGTAACTCTAAAGCGGTGTAGGGAAAATCGAGTGGTTCAAATTGGAACCGTTGGGTTAGATCAGAATTAGCCACTTTGTGGTTTTGAACGGTTTTGGTGAACCGGAGGGGTGTTATACACAAATTCAAATAAATTATCTAAAATCTCAAAAAATAAGCAATTTTGTTTCTAATCCATTTTTTTAATATTTTATATGTTTTTAGTAAATATTGAAAATTATTTTTGGCCACCTAACACTTCTTTTTACATTTTTCCCATTTTTGAAAAATGTCAACAATACCCCTGGGTGCAAATTGATTCTTAAAAGTCCATTTATTTCATTCATTTTCGACCTCATTTGCATGTGGCCGATTTACCAGTTAGTACTGAGTAACCACGTCTCCCCCATGCCTTGACAGGTTCGATTTTTCTAACAAAAATTTAAAATCGAAAGAAATCTCCCAAATAAATTATCTGACCTAGCCGGTAGAAGTAAATTAGCATACGTCTTCCCCGGTCAAAAATAACATAAATGAAAAAGAGAGAGAGAGTTAACTTTCAGCAGCTACCAAACCTAGGTGGGGGTTGGTGGGAGCGAAACCCACACCAACCCCATCACATTTTTCGACCCAAATATCCTTATATTCTTAATCCTTCTCCTCTTCCAATTTTCACTCTCCTACAAAACATCCTTATATTCTTAATCCTTCTCTTCTTCCATTTACACTCTCTTACAAAGAGAAAGAGGTGTTTCTATTTTTCCCCTATTTCAAAAACTCCCTCAGGTGCTGCATAATTTTCTTGTTACATTGCGTTTCAACTCAATCTAAATTATGGTTCCAATCTTCCCATGTTGTTGAATTTCATTTTTCATCTTCTGGTGTTTAAATTCTTCTCTTCTTTGCAGGTCCCCTTATATTTCATTGTGCTTGTGGTGATTTTGGAAGGATATTAATGGCGAATGGCAATGTGACCTCTGAGCAGGTATTATGGTATTGGTTTTCTTCTGGTTTCAGCTTGGTGATTGCTTCAAAAATTGTACAATTAGTTGCTTCAACAGTGTTTCAGCTTGGTGATTGCTTCAAAAATTGTACAATTAGTTGCTTCAACAGTGTTTTAAAAGAACGTAGTTGTGAGTGATGGGTAGGTAACACTAGAGATGGATTTAGCAGTTTGATTTCTTTCCTTGTAACTCCTGCAACTAGAGTAGAGTTTAAATGAAATGGTTTTTGGAAGAATTACAGCTGTTACTGTTCTTTCAGTGAGGTATGTCCAACTAAAAAATGAACCTATATTATCACCATTCATCAGAAGATTGACATTTTTGTTTGATAAGGTATAGAACAGTAAAGGCTATCTTTTTTTTTAAAAAAAAAGAAAGGAAAAAAAGAGAGATATCTTTCGAATTTTGATATACAGCGGCTTGTTTATGAATGTTAATGGAACAATTCCCATTTGCTCTTTCTTGTTGAATCCCTGAAAACGATCAGCAGAATGTTAATCAGTTTGGATTGGCAAAATTTCATCAATTAGAAAAGTAATGATGGAGCAACAAAGGTTAAATAGTTAATTAATTAAATGACTTTTAGTTTGTGAAGGTTCTCCTGAAATGATATTGGGATGCATATCTTATTGAAATCATGCTTCCATGAGAAAATGCTCGGAATGTACCTCGGAATTCCAATGCTCTTTGCCAAATTCATGTTGTAGCAACTTGTTATTTGATTCGTTTATGTTTTAAGCGTTGGGATTAAACTTTTTTATTCTGCTTTTTTTTTTTTTTTGGGGCCTTTGGGTAGTATGTGGCACAACTCATACTTTGAATGGAATGTTGTAATTATTAACGCCATAACCAGTCATTCGCATGCCCATTCCTATTTTGAAATTCGATTAGTGTAGTTGGGTTGGCCCTAGAGTCCAGTTTGGTTTTTCTGGGGAAGAGAAATGCTTCGGCACTAGCGTTTGCATTTGCCATGTCCAATTTAAGGAGATTTCAAACATTATAGCCTTTCATCCTGATTACATAATATCGAGCACATGAAGAATGCAACTAAATTATGTCAATTAGTTGTATAATTGAAAACGATTCAGAGCAACAAGCTTTATGATGTGGATAATATGAAATCAATACAGATATTGGAAGACCACTACTATTAGCAGTATGACTTTTGTCTAAAAAGGGTTGAACATCCAGCAAACTAGTAAAATTACCTTTCATGTGGTGACAAGCACCTAATCCGGGATCCAGGAAGAATATTGTGAAATGTTACCTTTAAAAACAGTAGAGACAAGGGCATAGCCAAGATTCCTAAGATATTTGGGGAGATATAGAAAATGACAAGGATGATGTTTGGTCAGGTTTGTGCTTGAAAAGTATGAGATATTGCAGCATAAGAGGATGACTAGGACCATCATCAATTTGGCAATTTCTTCTTACATTTTAAAATAAGATAACATGTGCTACTTATTTGACTGAATGCCACTTCATGCACTTCCTTTTTTTTTATGTCACCCTGAACTTCACAACCTTTGCGGTACCAAAGTTCTTAGCTTGGTCTATTCTGCCATAAGTTTTGACAAAGCCAAACTGATGCTTATGGAATCACCCCTCTCAATTACACAGGTTTTAGCAGTGTCAAAAGGCTGAGGACCATTTTTGTGATTTTCTAACTTATATACTATTCATTTGTTATATTGAACATCGTTGTATATGCATTTTTACTCTTTACTTTGCAAATATGTAGTGGTCATGTGGCCCATTATTGTAATGTATATACCCTATTGAAGGTTCATTTGAAGGTCGTCCATTGACTTTTCATTAGTTCTCTTGAATCTTCTTTTAATAAAGGACCTGGTTTCTATGTGGCCAAGCCCGCAAATGTAGAAATACGGACCTCTTAATAAATCTATTTTTGAAA